GCGTCTCTATAAAATAAAATTTCACTGATAGCGTTACGTGAAATTTAAAAAATCCTATTAGACATACTTCATTCAACTTATGTCTGACGCTCCCGCCGCCCAGATCGCGCCGCGCCGCGCCGCTCCTCGACGCCTCCCGACGCTCCCTCCCATAGAGAATGAATGACTTCCGGTCGCTTTGACGCTCTCGCCGCTCGCAGTGTGAACGTAGCATTACAATTAAAGATCATAGCAAGGGTAAAAACATTGGTATGATTTAAGCAACACAGCTACAAAAAAATAAAATTTATATTGGGTGTGTTAGATTTATAGTGTGCGAATAATAAAGGATTGACAATAATTAGTCATATTGGTGGCACAGAGGGGCCCCCAAATAAAATTCTGCTTAGGGCCCCCTGAAGGCTTGGGCCGGCCTTGGGTTGGGACATGAGCTGATGCAGCGCGCTGCCGCCCCCCACCACACAGCGAAACTCCTCCGGATCCCGGCTGGCGACCCCCAGGCAGACACAGGGTCCAGTCCCACACTCCGGGAATGGCCATATACGGTTTTCAGAACCGTAACGTATTTTTCATTGTATGTCTGTTGTGTTTTTGTATTTTCACAAAATACAACGCCACATATTAAGCACAAAACAACATTAAGTTACAACATACAATGGGAAAACTTGTGGGTGTTGAGCAGGTAGGAAAGGGCGGACGCGATATACGGGCGTGTGAAGTATGCGATGTGTGTACGAGTGCCCGCGGCGGAGTACGTGCGCGTGTACCTGCGCTTCCTCTCCTCCGCCACGCCGGTGCCGCTCAGCTCTTCCGAGAAGTTAGGAGGAACTTGGAAACCAGCGTAAAGTCAGTTTAATATTCAACATTCATTTGACATTCAAAATGCAAACTTATTATGCGCTTCAACCATTCCAGTGAATTATATCAAACCACCTGTGCAGCATCGAGAATAACGTTCTTCATGAGTCACAAGGCTATTCATCGTGATTTTTTTTTTTTTACAAATAAAAATGACGTGTACACGTACATAAGGCTATTATGCTCCCGCACGTGAGACCTTGTGATGTCAAACCAACTGTGCAGACAATAATGTGCCTCATGTGTCACAAGGCGTGTTTTTGAAATATTCCTCTTGAAAAGTTTTTTTGCAACTAAAAATTGCGTATACGTGCAAATAAAGCTATTATGCTACTGCACCATGTGACCTCATGATGTTAAACCAACCAACACAGAAATCAATAGCACATACATACCTTAAAAAACTTAATAAGCATAAATGATGGTCTATTGTTTCTGTTTTCATAGAACCGATGGTTCCATGATTTCTGCATTACTCAGAGCCAAAGCCTCCCAGGCGCTGACTTGCCATGGCACTGTGAATTGTGTGTAGACAAAAGGGGAAAGGTGCATGAAGTAATAAAAAGAAAATGTTTCACTGTATTATTGTGTTTATTTAAAAATCTATTTTGAGTCAATATAAACATTAATATGCTATAAATGTGTGAAAATGAATATATACAGTGAGGGAAATAATTATTTGAATCCCTGTTGAATTACTAACTAGACCCATTTATTAAAAAATGACCAGATGCCAGTCCATGGCAGGGTACGGGGCAGGTGACGTCCTCCACCTGATGCCAGTCCATGGCGGGGTACGGGGCAGGTGACGTCCTCCACCTGATGCCAGTCCATGGCGGGGTACGGGGCAGGTGATGCCCTC